ACCACTAAGAAGAATATATGCAGTGTATTATTTGTTGAAACTGTACTTCCGATTTGATTTGAAACTGTCTCATTGCTCTGTTCATCAATAAAACTTTGAAAAAAAATAAAAAAATAAAAAATAAAAATAAATTTAAAAAAATACTTTTTAAAAAGAAAATGTATCCACTAACTCATCATTCCCAATTTTTAACTTTTTATGCTTTCCTCATGAAAGAAACTTACAAAGTGCAGATCAGCTTATGCCTTGCCTCAGCTTGATCTTCGTCATATTGCTGTATCATAAACAAGAAACGTGTGATCTCCACGGGGTTTTATAAACCAGTTTGAGGACACTCAGGAGTGTTTTTGTACGGGGCACCAGCTGAGCCTCAACCTTGTCAGGCCCAACTGCAGTCTCTGGAGGAGGCACAAGAGACCCTAGGCGGCTTGTTCTCTACTAACATCTAAGAAGCCTCCCCAGACATCTGCTGCTGAGAGGAAGCCTTCTCCATTCTCTAAACCAGTGGGAAGATACATGATGTCCAGTTACTTGGAAGCCCCGCTCCCATAACCACACTTCCTAGCTTTCCACACTTCCCAGACCTGCCGCCCTGGTCACTTGTGAGGAGCCAGGCTTGAGTCTTGGCCAGCCAGCCTCACACAGATGATTAGCCTGGAGCTGCACCTGTCCTCAGATCAGCAACATTGGCACCAGACCCCACTAGCTCCCCTGGATCTGGGGTCGAGTCTGTACAGAGCCCCAGGCATCAGCTAGTCCTGCAAGCCAGCCTACATCACTTCTCTAACCATGGGTGTCACCAATCCCCATACCTGCAAGGTTCCTCAGCTCTAAGAGGTCCTCACCAGTGTGGCACAGGTGGGAAGGGGCAGGAATGATAGTCACATGGTCTCTGGGGCAATGACTTGAGACCTTTTCTCTGCAGATCTGAAAGGCAAGGCTTCTGGGTGACAAATGGTTACAGAGGCTAGCAGCTGGACTGTGGGTGGGTCCACAGGGCAGAGGTGAGTGGGGGACCTCAACTGTGCAACTTGGCCACAGGCACTATCCTGGGGCTCTTAAACTGTGTGTGTGCTTGTGCTTGCTCTGATAGATCCTCATCCTGGCGAGGTGTGCGGAGCGCAGCACCCCGCAGCCTACACTCACTGTCACATGCTCAGTCCCTGACTGAGCTGACCCAGCTGGTGACCCAAGTGACAACTAAGCCCAAGCGCCTCCTTCTTAGTGTGGCCACAGGTGATCCCGATGTCCTCCTATCCCAGTCCAATTGAGAGGTGGCAGGGGTTTTGGAGGGGCATCTCCTAAAGCCCAGTCCCAGCACTGTGCACAGGAGTGACGTGCCCACTTTTCCAGGAAAGGAATTTAGGCTCCTCTGGCTGCTTCTCCTCATGCTCAGCATTTGCAAGTGTGAGTTTCAGGGAGAAGAGTTCAATCTGGAATCTTATATAGGATCATGGAGGTAGCCTAAACTAGGTTTATAGATTATATGACCTTTTCCAGAGTGTTTGCCAAAACCAGCCATGGCCCACACCTAACTACAGCAGTTTAAACCAGATCTGTCCTGAGAAATAAGGAGGAACCTTCCCCAACTCAAGAAAACTGCTGTGCTTCCAAATTCAGGAAGGCAACCCTGCAACTATGTGAGGCCCTCTCCCAAGAATGTAAAACAGACTAGGGTTATATTCGATGCAAGGGCTTCAGGCTCAATGCCCAGCCTGGAGTGAGGGGAGGGAAGCAATGCAGAGAAGCGATTGCAAACCATGTTGAAAAATTATTTTGCCTTAATTGTAACAGTAATGGTTTCATATCTGGACAGAAATTTCCATTTAATAATGTTATTATATCCTACCTGTGCAATGTGTAAAGCAGACAGCCTGAGTGTAGGGGTGATATGAACACCCAGGACTTCAGGAAAAAAAAACACTAATACTGCAGCTCTCTCCCATTCCACTGCCCAAGTCTGGCTCTGAACTAGGAAATGTACTTCTTCACCAGCATTGAAGGACAGATCTGATATCCTTTCATCCAACCTTGCATTAGGCAACTGGTATTTTTCATGTCAGCTATTCAAGTAGGCTTGGGCTATAAAGCATCATGGATTTTTTTGTTTGTTTTGTTTGTTTTGTTTTATTGGTTTTTTTTTGTTTTGGGGGAGTTTTCTTGTTTGTTTGTTTGTTTTTTGTTTTTTTTTTTTGTTTTTTTTTCAGAACTGGGGATTGAACTCAAGACCCTTGCGCTTGCCAGGGCTGCACTTATTCCACCGAGTCATCTCCCTGGCCCCAAGCATCGTGGTTTTTAATATTATTTCTTTTAATAATTTTTTTAGTGGAACAGGGGATTGAGCTCAGGCCCTTGCACTTGTGAGGGAAGCACTTATTCCACTGAGCCATCTCCCTGGTAATCGTATTTCTTTAATGGGGTTTTAGCTGTTTTCCTTTAATGGCTAATTATGGTGAATTTCATCATGTTTTAAGGGTTTCACTAAGACATTGAATTGCCAAACTGGCCTGAAGCTTATGACTCCTGCCTCAGTGTCCCTTCAAGGTAATAAAATGACAGGGCTGCCCCACCAATCTCAGCCTCAACATTTTTATTTGCCTATTTACTAAATGGTCTTTCATTTCTTTTCTCTCTTTTCTAACAACATATTTTTTATTTTAAGTTTGGGGGAACTTTATAAAACACATTTTACACATACCTACTTTCACCAACAAGTTCTGCACACATTCAGTCCAGTTTGTGGTGCAGGCGTGCCCAGAGTTCTGAGAGAGAGGAGCAGCCTACTGCAGAACTCTTCCCAGGTCTCCACCCAGCCCTGGGTGGTGCTGACTCCAAGCCCTGGGAGGGAGGCAGGGTTCCTCCAGATTCTGCGGAGCTCCTGAGGAAGGACTCTGTGAGGGATGTTGAGCTCTAAGCCCCCATGCCAATCCCTCAGATTCATAGAGAACCTCCTCAGAGGAGAAGAAAGGGCTAAGAGAGTCTAAGATCTCAGCTACCACCAAGGAGAGGGTCAGTAGGGAGCACTGGGACATGACAGTCCAGACCACAGCAGCCCTGGGAAGGAGAGCCTGAGGTCTATGAGAGGCTCAGCACTCAGGACTCAGAGCACATGAAGGTAAAGAGTGGTTCCAAGCCTCTTCTGAAGCTGACCCAGGGACCCTGGGAATCGAGTACTCCACAAAACCTGGGTGTGGGCCAAGGTTGCCAGGATGCAGTGCCTGAGCACAGTGTTGGCAATGCTCTGGGTCACACTCGAGAGCTGAATGAAAGTAGAGTACATGGTGGCAGCCCCGGGCTCCTTGGCTTTCTTCTCTAGCTGCATCCAGGAGGAATCCTGCAATGGGGAGAGTACCAATTTTTAAATACTACTGGTCCCTGCATCAGACCACAGAATCCCAAGCAAGGAGGGAGACCGAAGATCAGGCCTGAAGCTCAGGAACTCAGGACTGTGGCCCACACTTAATGGGAAATTCTGGTCTGGTTTCCCTGCCATTGAGGACGTCTTACAAAAGAGTAACATGGTTGCATACAAGATAGAGCCAGGAATTGAACAGATGACCCAAATAGCAGGTCTTGATGGCAGGCGCCTGAAGGAGGTCATACATTCCTCTCCTTCTGAACACAGCCACTTCCCATGTCCCTCAGCATGATGCACAAAATAGTCAGGAGGGAACACCACCCTAAGAGGCTTTTCTCCACTCACCCTGCGTTTCATGGTCATAGGTGCAGTCCAGAGTGGCACCACTGGTACAAGTGGCCCTGCTTGGTCTGGCTTCAGCTTCACAGTCACAGATACAGTCAGTTTCTTCTTTAGCAAAAAAGATCGAGGTGGCTTTATAGGTACACGTGGCACTGGAGCTGCCAGCGAATCTGACTCTTCACTCCAGCATGGGTTGTGGATCTGCCTCTGGTTTGGAGTTTGCTGCAGGAGCTGATTCTTGCTCTCCAGTTGGACCTTGAATGGGTGATGTGCCACAGAAAAGGTGGCCAAAATCAATCACTTGCTCAGAAATATTCCCTACGAACCCCAAAATCATCCAACCCTGATTCCAAAACAGATCTGCTCCCTGTGTTTCACTGTCGGCGGGGTCTGAGGCTCATGTTTGGGCCTATCCTATCCCAGCCGGGAGCCTTCTCCTGCTGGATCCAGCACACTCTCTTCTTGTGCTCTGGTGAACCAATCCCAACCCTCCTCACCCTCAGTCATGGCTCTCATGGTCTCTTTCTCTTCCAGCTGCATCAGTAGAAGGTTCACACGGTGCTCCAAGTCTAAGCTAGGCATGTGCAAAAGCACATGCTCCACCAGCTGCTTGAGGCATGTGAACTCTGGTGGCTGATTGAACTACTCTGAGTAGTTTTCAAGCCACATGCCAAAGATGGTAGAGATGGCACTGAGGGCAGATGGGTGGGCAGTGTCAAGAAACCCAG